TATCGAGAATTCTAAATAGATAAAAATTAACTGTGTCGTGGTGGCGGACTTATATTATCGGGAATAGATTAGAGCCACTTGGTGCTGGCGAAAATCAAATTGACAAGTTCCAGATCGGCTAGCTAAACACACGAGTTTTGACTAGATAAAAAAATTAACTGGGTCATTGTGGCGAACTTATATTATCGGGAAAAGATTTTCTGTGACCGAGAAATAGGAATGCCCTGACCGCACACGAGCTGAAAAAAAAGAAAACAAGGGAAATAGGTTAAGTCTTTGTCGATGGAAAGATATCGTTAGACAAGGTCTAGGTTGTGTTAGAATCTAGCGGTAACACCGAAACTATTTTATTGGAAAAGTTGGTTGTGTTTTGCTGGATGACCACCCACCCTGATAATTAGCGAAAATCTGATTGACGAAGTCCAGATGAAAGTGACTTTGGGATAGGAATTGAGGTTATCACACTACGGGTCGTATTGTTCTGTTGGCGGCCAGAGAAGAAGAGAGAATAGAAAAGAAAAGAAAGAAGGGAAATAGAAAAAAGAAAAAGAGGAGATAATTCTTTTTTCTTTGAGCAAGATATTTTTTTAAGAAACAAGGCTAGTCTGATCACACCCACACTGTTGATCGTCCATTGTGTGAATGTTAACGAGAGCCAGGCGGAGGTGATCATGTGATGCTGGGGGGGGGCTTCTACCACTCCTTAAAGAGGATAGGTATGAGATGTTACTGCGAAAAAGTAGGAAAATCGTTGACGCCCTCTGAGAGTATGGTAAGAGAAGTCTTCCAAAAATGGAAATAATAAATTTTTCCTGGCCGAAAACAAAAAAAAAAGGGGATTGTGGATTTGAAATTGTCAGGGAACCTCAAACCCCGACAAAGCCCACCCCGATTTTGGTCGGCGTCTATATAAGCAAAGTCGCAGCGAGCGAAAATGAGTTGAAGTTCCAGTTTTCCAGAGTTTCCAGTTCGCAGTTGAAGTGGGTCCGCCTCGCAGAGCTGACTTGAGAGATTCGCGCAACTTCCGAACTCATCTTCAATCCAAGAACAATTTATTTTTGAAGAGCGACTTAGATTCATACCACCAAAACAAGTTTTACGACTATCGCCTGAAGACAGACAAAAAAGCAGTTTTTTAAAGAACAGACAACTTATGGCACCTTGCATTTATTGGAAATATTCATAGAAATATGAGTTAATTTTTTCTTATTCAGTTTATTAAACAGGTTGTTAATTTTTTTTTAAAACGGAAAATAACTGAGTTGAAAATAATTCACTAAGAATGTACTAGACGATCCTAAGGAAAGAAGAAGGAAAAAAAAAAAAGGAAGGAAGGAAGAAAAAAGAAAGAAAGAGAAATGTATGACGCATGACCCAGTTGATGGTAGAGATAGGTCTGCGTGTGGTCGACTTTATTTTTTTTAAAACAAAGGAAGAATAGAATTGGAAATAATAAAAGAGAAAGAAAGGGAAAAGACATGATATCGACCAGATGTCGGTCAGAGGCCTCTGACCGACTCTTGCGTGGAAAACTCCTTATCAATTTGGAGTGAAGAGAAATTTTTATTTTTTTTTCTTTTGAACAATAGAAACGAAATTTGTGATCTGAGAGAAAGTGTCTTTGGGTTGAGGGGAGGACCAGTGAAAACGATATACGGAATTGACCTGTTAAGAATTGGACACCCACGTTAAGAAAGTAGAGATATTTCGACCTAGATAATTAAGATTTTCGACTATCAGGAAAAAAACAAAGAGGTAAAAAAGAAGAACAATTGCTTTTGGCTCACAGAGGGCGCCAAGAAGGCGGAAAAAGAACCTTTTCTAAAGTCAAGACTAATTAGCAGCGGGCTGTTTGACAAAAGTCCAGGTGAAAAGAAAGCTAAAGATTGTCATTTTGCGTACGTGCAAAAAGGTGCGAAATCGGATTTTGTTTTTTTTAAAACCAGCACGAGGTAACCACACCCGCCAACAAAAGGGAGAGGGTGTTCGGTCAATAACAATTGGTCGAATACAATCACGTGACCGCGGAAGAAGAAGGAAAGAAAACCTCGATCAATAACTGTTGGACGAGGCGGTCACGTGGGCTGCGGAAAAGAAGAGAAAGAGAGGTTCGATCGGGAACGATTGGTTGAGAGCGATCACCTGACATGAGAGAGACTAAGAGAAATAGATATGCGCCGCCCCCAAGAGCACTGTGAGAAAGTAGGGGTGAAAACAATAACGATAATGGAAAGTCAAAATTAATACGACTTTGAAATTATCGAGAAAACCCTGACGCCGACAGACCCACCCCAGTTTGTTGCGGCGTCAATATAAGCAGGACCCCAGTCGACAGAAATCAGTTTGAGTTGGAGATGCAGCCGGAGTTGGGCTGAGTTGCAGCAGGACCGCGGGCAGGGGAAGATCCTGAACGCGGACATAAGACCCCGATTCACTCGCCCCCTTTGCGGGCAAAAGAACCCTCAGACAGAAGGACTTCCAGCCCAAGTCGAAGACAGAAGAACTTCCAGCCCAAGTAGATGAAGAAGAAGATTGCCTGAAAACCTGAGAAGAGTTGGAGCTGAAGTTGGAGCTGAAGTTGGAGCTGAAGTTGAGTTGAAGTTGGAGTTAGGTTGGGCGTGAGTTGCAGTTCACCCTCGGACGACAGAAGAATCCTCGAAACAAGAAATCCTTCCAGCCCAAGTTGAAGACAAGAAATCTTCCACCGAATTGAAGCAAGAAATCTTCCACTGAATCGAAGCAAGAAATCTTCCACTGAATCGAAGCAAGAAATCTTCCACTGGGTTGAAACAAGAAATCTACCAGTCTAAACAGAAGAAGAAGAAGAAATACAACTCAAGTCGGAGAGAAGAATCAACTGCGAATGATCGATAGAAATTAGCCCCAGTGTCGAACTGAACCACACTCCGACATACATACATGATTCTAGAAAGTAGGTAATTCGACATTTTCCTATTGTGTGATAGAAGCTTGGTGCCATAGTCCACAGAACGGGTCGGGAATTGAGAACAATTTTGTTTTTTATGTAACGGACTTTAAGATATAAAAGGTTGTTACCTTTTTTATCAGCAATTTTGTTTGGTGTCGTGAGTTTTATTTTATTTGTGTTTTGCCACCCCGTCGGACTCAACTTGTATCGGCCCCGATCCCTGCTGGTCCCGTCTGTCTAAGATCTAAACACAGCGTGGGTAGACAGACCGGAGATCGGTATAGTTGCTTTAGTGACCAGGTATTGGAAGCGAGTCGGGAAAGGCGAGGCTGGTGATCATCTGACCAAAGGGTTGGAGCGGCACGCTTGGACCCAGGAGGAACGACCAGGAGGAGCGACGTCACCGTTGGCGCCGTAACCAAAGGATCCGACACTGGGCCAGGTGTGTAACCGTCACAACGCCCTCTGAGAGTATGGTAAGAGAAGTCTTCCAAAAATGGAAATAATAAATTTTTCCTGGCCGAAAACAAAAAAAAAAGGGGATTGTGGATTTGAAATTGTCAGGGAACCTCAAACCCCGACAAAGCCCACCCCGATTTTGGTCGGCGTCTATATAAGCAAAGTCGCAGCGAGCGAAAATGAGTTGAAGTTCCAGTTTTCCAGAGTTTCCAGTTCGCAGTTGAAGTGGGTCCGCCTCGCAGAGCTGACTTGAGAGATTCGCGCAACTTCCGAACTCATCTTCAATCCAAGAACAATTTATTTTTGAAGAGCGACTTAGATTCATACCACCAAAACAAGTTTTACGACTATCGCCTGAAGACAGACAAAAAAGCAGTTTTTTAAAGAACAGACAACTTATGATGTTAAAACTCACCTAACAAAAACAACGTGTGACGAATCCATATAGCGGGTCGGGAAATAGACGCAGTCCTATGTATCCAGCAACCAGATATAAAGTATTGTTATCTTTTTTTGATACCTTTGAACTTTTGAGTTATTATTTTATTTTCTTTTACACATATTTGTGCGATACCACCCTTAATCGAACTCAACTTGCATTACGGCCCCGACGACTGATTGATTTCCTCTGCCTAAGATCAATTCACAACGTGGGTAGGCAGACTGGAGATCAAAGCAGTTACTTCGGTAACCAAAAGTTGGAAGCGAGTTGGGAACGACGAGGCTGATATCGAATCTAACCAGATTCCCATCCGAATCACCAAATGTTTAGAACGTCACATATGGGTGTCACGACCAATACCAAGCCAGTTGGTCGTCACAGGACGGGACAACACGACTGACGAAGACAGGCGGACGTCACGTTTGGAGCGGCGACACCCGAACGAAGCAGCGAGGAACGAGCAAGGCTGGGGGACGTCACAGCTTGGTGTTTTTCTTTTTTATTTATTTGTGATTTGAAAGCCTAGCTTTGTTTATTGTAGTCATGTAATTTAACCTGTACCTTCCATCTTTTTTTAAAAAATCTCTATTTTGTGTAAGAGGATCAGTCTATATTGTCTCTTTCCCGGGGACCACAATACTTTTAGTGGAATAGTCCAGGTTAATTATATCCATGTTCCAGTAACGAATATATATACATATACACACACACACACACACACACATATATATATATATATATATATATATATATATATATATACATATCTATCTATCTATCTATCTATCTATCTATCTATCTATATATATATATATATATATATATATATTTATTAAAGACATTTTATTATGTTTAACGTTGTTATTTTATAGATACAAGTATTTAAGCAAATGCTCTGTTTATGATAAACAGTATTAAATAACATTTACCGGCCTGAATGTCCGAGAAATTTTATTTAATTATTTAGTTATTTAATACTGTTTATCATAAACAGAGCATTTGCTTAAATACTTGTATCTATAAAATAACAACGTTAAACATAATAAAATGTCTTTAATAAATAAATTGTCGGACCTCGTCCATTTCTTAACATATATATATATATATATATATATATATATTATCATCAACAGACAGTCTGTTTCGCTGTATCACCACTCCTCAGTGTGG